ACTTTTGTCAAGAATGTTAGTTATGAGCCTGAGGTTTAAAATTAAATGGATTAGTTCTACATTTTTATGGCTAAGTCACTTAAACTCTCTGAGTCTCAATTTCAGTATCTGTCAAATGGAGGTAACTGTTTACAATTTTTAGAAGGTTTAGATTAGGTAAGTTTGTAAGACACTTAGAATTTCTAATTCATCAATACTCTAAAATGCTAGGTTTTATTTTTCTTAAAAATTGTTGAATAAGGAAATCTATATTAACCTTAGATTTTTTAAAGCATGCATATAAAGAACAAAGACAAATAGAAGTTTTGAGTTAAGAACAAATTCAGGAAAGCTGAAATTCAAAGACCTGATGTTTATAAGGACACAAGGACAAACAAAAGATCTTTCAAGGTTTTTACATTTACGAGAAGAAAACAAAAAAGTGCTTGAGGTTAACAAGTTACATTTTTTTATCCCCCCAAAAGCATAGCATCTCAAGAGTGGAACAAACACTTGAGAGAAGTGGTTGAGGCACCATGCAGGTAAAGTGGTTGGGGAGAACCATTCTGCCCTGAATAAATGGCTTTATGGCCAGGCTTTGGGTGTCTAAGTCCCAAAGTGAGAAAACTTGCCAATGAGATTGAAAACTTGATATTGAATTAATCAAATAGAATAAAAGACCAATAGGAGACGCACAAGAAAGTTGAGAAGAAAAAGGTAGCTCTCATTTTCAAAGAAGAATATTGATAACTATAGACTGGGACATAACCTTTAGCATTCAAAGATTCATGACAGGTTACCCTAGCTCCTCAGTGGGACATCACTCTTACAAATGCTATTGCATTTAATATATACATCAATTTTTAGAAGCAGTCTGATTTCAGAAATAAGACAGTGTGTGCAGGCAAGAGAAGTGTCTTAGGCTAAACACACATGAGTTGACTAGAACAAAATTGGAAAAGATGAATAAACATGATTGTTACGCTGAAGTCCAAGTGTGTTCATTCAAGTCTTTAATTGTATCTTTTTGGACTAAGTTTTAGAAACAGGGTGGGTGAGATGCATTTTTGTAAATTTAGTTGGTTGTTATCTTATTTAAGCTAAGTGAGAAATGTGTGTGTTACTCAAGAATAGTGTTCTTAAAGCATGAGAACTTTGACCCAAGTCTTACTATAAATTTTAGCAATGGATAGAATGATCAGAAGGAATTATTTTCAAATTAAAGATAAATAAAATCAAAATGATTACGCATATGGATTTTGAAATTGTTAGACTCGGAAGAGAGCTCTGGCTTCACCATTTATCAGATGTGTAGCTTTATTCAAGTGATTTAACTATTCTAAACCTCAATTTCCTCATCTATAAAACTATAATTTGGAAAAGGCCATCTACCCATTGTATGGATGATGTGGGATAACTAACATAAATGCACCTAGCATATGGTATTTGTCCATCAGGATGGAGATAGTTACAATGCTGTTGTTTCAAATAAAACTGTCTCTCACAACGGAGAGCATTTCAATAAAGTTAAATAGCTTACGGAAGTGGATAAATCAAATCAAACAAGATTAAAATGAATTGCAATATGCCATTTGAGCAAAAATATAAGAGAACAAGTAATGTTTTTGTACAGGAATAGAACTAAAAAGGCAGATAATCAGAGGCAGATATATAAATGTTTGAACCATTTAAGTAACTATGTTCAATATGAATCTATTAAAAAACATAAATTGATGAAAACATGTAACTAACAAAATACCTAGTATTTTCTTTGACTACATCTGTGAAAATATGGAAAGTAATATAAATCTGAGACCAGCTTCACTGTACTCTGTACTGTCTAACAACACTGAAAATCTTACATTATAAATGGAAGTCAGACAAAAGGAAACATATTCAAAGGAGAGTAATCAAAGCACGGGGAAGCATGCCATCCGAATAATGACTGGAAGAGAAGTGGTAGTTGTTTCCGGTTTGGGGCTATTATGAAACAGCTGCTGTGAATTTTTTATATAAATCATTTTCATAGACATATGTTTCCATTTATCTAAGGTAAGTATCTAGAAGTAGAATTGTCTATGGTAGGTGTACATTTAACTTTATTAGAAAGTGCCAGTTTTCCAGAGTGGTTGTACTATTTTACACTACTTTTCAATTGTTTGTATATTTATTTCAATCTCATTCCTTGATGGAATTATGTCAATCTTTCCAGATTCCTGTCTTAGAAAAAAATTGGAAGACTTAACCACTCTGCACTCGTATGCAGTGACCAAAAATAAGCAGAATTGAATATCCATTACCCTTTTAGATGGCACAGGAACAGTCCAATTTCCGTCACACTTCACTCATCACTCCTGACTCATTCACTCATTTGGTACTAACTGATACGTATTAACATGAGTTTGCATACCCTCATGTAATGGAAGACTGACACAACCCCAGTCATTTTAACTTGCTGACAGCAGGCCATTGTTGATGCTTGCATTTGAGTAAGAACATAAACTTCGACGTGTGTGTATGCGTTTATACTTTGTCATTGTTGTTGCTTTTTGTAAGTGCCATCTTGGAGATATTTCTGTTTTTCCTTTTGACTGCGGCCTTCTTCAGTTCTACCCAGAGGGTGGGAACAGAAGCAGCAGCAGGGATGTTGCTAGGCAAAAAGGTTCTGATGACAAGGATGGAGATTGCAAATTACGATTAGTGCAAACCCGGGATGTGTCATCAGCTTAGGATTCTGTTATTTACCTAATTTGAGCCTAATGATATGAAACATTGTTGTAATGTTGAAGTTTCCTTATCCTTTTCAAGGTGCTTCAATTCCCTGAGGAAAGAGGCAAGCAGATGGAACCTTTCGCGCTGCAGACATAGAAGAACGAGATAGAAATATGCTCTCTGTCCTTGATGTGAAGATGCTGTCACTTTTAATTCTCCAGCTTGTTTACTTTTCTACTACATAAGAACTGGGGCTTGTTTTAGCAGCATTGATTAAGTTGTCATTGATTTGCAAGATAGGAAATAGAACTTTCAAATTTCCCACATGAATTTTAAGTAAGTCAGATATTAACAACAAGATGAAACATTTACCATGGCAATGACAGAATAGTCAAGTATCATTCAAAACCTTTCAAGGCTCACAAAGAGCATATGGATTCTAGATGTCAATACATACATGACTAGGTATTAATTTTATTATTTAATCTAAGTAAATGCTTCAATAAGCATCTAGCACAAAAAATAGAGTTCACTTATTTTTCTACATGTTTGTGTTCACTTGAAATTTGCATAAAGGTATATTTTCTACCAGTCGATATAAATCAGTCTTATTAACAGTTAAGATTTATTGAGCTCAGTATTCTGCTAAACTTTTAGAGCACTATGTGAATTAATCCTCAAAAAAACCTCAGAGCAGAGTTTGCCCAACTTGGAACTACTGACATTTTGGGCTGGATAATTATTTCAGGGTAGGGACTGTCCTGGGTATGGTAAGATATTGAGCACAATCTCTGGCCTCTACTCATTAGAAACCAGTACCATCTCTCATCCCAAATGGTGAAAATAAGACAGAGTGCAGTGGCTCACACCTGTAATCCCAGCACTTTGGGAGGCTGAGGCAGGAGGATCACTTGAGCCTAGGAGTTGGAGACCAGCCTGGGCAAAATGACAAAAGCCCATCTCCATAAGAAATACAAGAATTAGCTGGGCGTGGTGGTGCACACCCGTCGTCCCAGTTACTTGGGAGGCTGAGGTGGGAGGATCTCTTGAGCCCAGGAGGCAGAGGCTGCAGTGAGCTGTGATTGCACACTTGCATTGCAGCCTGGGCAATAGGGCAAGACTCTATCTCAAAAAAAAATTGAAAATATCTTCAGACATTGCAAATGTGCCATGGGGGCAAAACTGCACTCTGGCTGACAACCATTGCTTCAGGACAAATATTATTATTTCTCCTCCATTACAGAACTTACCTGGAGACACACAGTCGGCAAGATGAGCATCTGGAGCAGAGAGGTAAGCTTGTTTGGATAAAGCCCAGGAACTTTGTATTAATTGATAATGTCTCCAGTTGATTTCAAAGATACACGAGCAGAATTGTGTCTAGTTACATGTGAGGGTTTTCTTAGTATTTACTTTAATGTATATGTGAATTGAGCATTTACTATTTGGAAAATACTACACCAGAGCAAAAAGTGATAACAAACTTAACTTACTCATGGCCACTGAAGAACTTAAACCTTGTCATTGGTAAATAGCTAATTCACAACTGAGGTTAGGAATTTCATGTACTGTATTCAAACGCCTTTAAAGAATGAAATATACATTCAAGTTTCTTAAACATTACCTTTTAAACACTTCTGTTCATTTAAGTTTTGGCATCATTGAGCAAATATGCAAATATAAAATTATTACCTATGGTAGAATTATCTTGTGAGAGAGAGTGTATCTCTATACTACAATAGTTGGCAAATCTAGCCCACTACCTGTTTTAGTAAATAATGTTTTATTGGGACATAGCTATGCTCATTTGTGTATGTGTTGTCTGTGGCTACTTTTATGCTATGATGACAGAGATTAGTAGTTGTGGCAGAAATCATATAGTTCACAAAGCCTGAGACTTTTACTAGTTGGCCTTACAGAGAAAGTTTGCTAACCCTGACATAGTATTTCAAGGTAGTCAGATTTTTGTAGCTGTGTAATCAAAGGTATTCTACTTGTCTGTGTTTATGCTTTGTATATTTTTAAATGTATATTAATCTAGAATACATCTGTGAAGCACAAGAAATAACATTCAGTCTTTTCTCCTATTAAATTGCCTTAATAAAGAATAATTGATTAAAATGATCTGAAGACTCATTCTGTGCTAGTCAGTTTGCCAGGAGTTCTACATGCATTACACTACTTAATTGTTACAATAACACTGTGAGGTAGTCAGTCAATTTTCACTTTTTATGAGGTCACTGAGACTTATGAAGGCTATGGAACTTCCTCAAGGTCATGCAGAATCAGAACACGGATATGTTTGATTGCAAAGCTCAAGTCTATTTAACAACTGTATTATACTCTGTGCACAGAACAAAATGTCAATAAAAATTTTTACTTGGTTTTACCTATGTTTTAAAGATCTAAGCAGATAATTTTTTCAAAGTTTATCCACATTTTCTGAATCTTCTTATAAAAGAAAAATACCTTATGCCTGCATAAATGAAAGGAGACCAAGATTATTGACTTATTAATTTAGCAAATACATCGCGAGCCCTTATCCTCCACTAGGCATTGTGCTAAATACTAAGGATATAGTTGATAAGATACATAATCCTTTACCTCATCAGGCTCTGCTCCTAGTGGGGAGACAAAAGGAAAGCAGAAAAAGATGACAACACAATGGGCTGAAATGACCATAATACAGGTATGTGCCAGGTACTGAGAGAGGATGAAGGTTTCACGAATGTATTTGAAACCAAGACTTGATAGGTGAATAACGATCAGCCCTGATGGAGATTTGGACTCTGGCCATGAAGTGTTTGGAACTGCCTTGGGATACAAAAGTGTTTTTGTACAATTCCTGACTCTGCAAGCTTGTGTTTTAGTTAGGGGATGCAAGCTAGAATGTGTAAAATATCCATTAATAATACAAGACATCTTATGAGTAACTGCTAAATTGTGTGGAACAGCAGAAAAGTACAATAGCAATTGAGAGTTGAAGCGAATGAACAGAGTGTAGGGGGGAGTCATCGGGAAGGAGGGATGGAAGTTGAACGTTTAAAATAATCAGAACCTGGCTAAATGGGGAAGAGGGGGTGTTGAGGCGACTGAGTATTTTTGGTGACCAACTGAAGCAGGGACAGTGTCCACAAGCTCTTGACTCCTAAAGAGACTGGCCTCGATAAAATCAGTGTTAAAAATAGTGGGAAAGGTCTATTGGTAGCTTTGGGCAAAAATGTAGATAGTTTTGAGAAGAGTGGAAGAAATAAGAAAACATTTATCTGGGCTGGGGGCGTGGCTCACACCTGTAATGTCAGCACTTTGGGGTCCGAGATGGTTGGATCACTTGAGGTCAGGAGTTAGAGACGAACCTGGCCAACATGGCAAAACCCCCTCTCTACTAAAATTACAAAAATTAGCTGGGTATAGTGGTACGCACCTGTAGTCCTAGCTACTCGGGAAGCTGAGGCAGGAGAATTGCTTGAACCCAGGAGGCGGAGGTTGCGGTGAGCCAAGATCATGTCACTGCACTCCAGCCTGGGTCACAGAGCAAGACTTCATCATCTCAAAAACACACACACACACACACACACACACACACACACACATATATATATATATATATTTATTTATATACTATATATATATCTCTCATACTGATAATAGGTGGTTTGTGAAGAGCATAACATAATCTTAGGTGAATAAGTGAAAAAAGACCAAATGCATTAAATAAATCATTGCTGTAGACAATTTTTACAAATTCTATTAATGTAATTTGATCCCAAAATAATTGATATTCATGCCACACTGAAGAGGCTGCACAGTACTTTAAAAATGAATTGATATCTTCAAGTAAATAATTCTAGTTTATCATTTAATAAGGGTACCTACCTTAGTGTGTATCTGACACTGTGAATAAAAGCATCTATGACTCATCATCACCTCCCTAGCTTTCAGTCTAACAGAGGAGGCAAGGAGTAAATCAAATTATCACACAATGACCTCCACATTTAACAACTAGATAAGAATTCCAAATCAGAAGCAATCACCAGGAGAGTTCATCATAAATGATGCTGGCTTAGGAGTAGAAGACATTAAGGAAGGTTTTATTCTGATTAAATGGGATTTAAAGGGAGCTGAAAAATAAATAAATGTTGCTGAGGCAAAAGGCAGGTACGTGTTGTGGACTGAGTAAGGAAGAAGTATCCAGGCTGAAGAAGTAGCATATACAAATCCCTGGAGGGAGAACAGAATATTCTAGCTTGTGAATTTATTTGAAATGTGAAAGATACATTTGGAGTAGTCATTAATGGTCTCAAATTCCTACTGTTGAACTAAAATTGCAGCTTCACAGACAAGGACACATGGTTTTCTTTATTATTCAGCTGTAAAATCTGTACATCTGGCACAAGCAATGTAAGTAGGTAAGGTATAAATAATTTGAAAATGCTAGACCATTTTAAAAATTGTTATGTTTCTCTGCCTGAAAATAGCACTCCTTTTTTCTTTCTACCCAGAGACAAAAGAAAGATCAGTTATACATCTAAGTCTTGGGTTGAAATAGATTGGGTCTTAAAATTAAACACACATAGTTAGGATTATTTGATCTAGATCAAATAACCACTCCTATGTTGATTAATGTAGCTCTTAAGTAAAATTCATCTCCTTTTCCTCCCTCTGTTCCATTTATTTGCTTTTTTGGTAAAGTTGCTTATTTTTTAATGTGATTTAAATACTGTTTTTAGCAATCATGAAAATAAATGTTAAAATTGTTTTTGATTAAAGACTTACATTTTGTTCTGCTTCTCATAAACTTATGAGATCAAAATTTTTAATCTTCTATCTTGAACCTAGATAGCTGTTTTAAGCAATACGGAAAGGAAATATTTACGAATACAAACTTTGAGAAAGGCACAGTGCCAGGCACCACTGTGGGTAATATCACCCCATTTTCATCAAGTTGCTCATAGTCTAGATGGGAAGGCTAAACTTAAATTACATGTATAATTATATATCCCATAGAGATGAACAATATGTATGAAATAAAAATGAATTGAGAAAAACTTATTTGGAGAAGAGGATGGTCTGTAGTGTTCTGCATGAGAGCTTCATGGATAAGAAAGCACTAGAGTTGGATCTTGAAATAGATTAGATTAGATTGGGATACAAGAGACCTATTAAATTAGTAGATGGGGTGTTTATCCATGTCTATTAAATGTCAGAGTTCATATCTCCATCTAGTATGCTATATTTTCTACCTAATGGCATTTTAAAATATCATGATCGGTTTTGATAGAATTCTTCTATTATAAACACAATGTGTTTTTATTGTCTGTTTTTCAGGAATTTTACTTTAACAGAAGATAGTAGTGAGGGCTTGAACACTAAGGAATTAATGAGAGATCAGGTAACCATCAGTTAATACACATTCAATGCTCTTTTAGCTTGGTTATTTTCATTCTTTCAAGTCTCATTTTCATGAGATAATTTCTTCCAAGGGGCATTAAGATTTGACTTTTGTAATCAGGTCATGATGTGGCTTGTTTGCTTATGTGAGAGGATTTTAGCGCAAAGTGAATTAAATTCATAGAAGAGCGCTCTGTTGCTTGAACTTATGAAAAGTTTAGCTTTTAATTTGAACAAGAGTATTTTACAAGAGACAATGGTGATTTTAGACCATGCTGATTATTCACATATTTGAGTAAAAGTGAGTAGACTGTAGTTTTTCCAAATTTGTGGCCATTTTGAGAAGACAGCAATGTATATGTAGTCTAGTTTCATAGAGAATTCTCATAAGAAATAGTGAAAGATAAATTGATATCGAAAATGCAATTAAGGCCTAATTATAAGCATACTTAATGGATAGGTGAAGGCATTAAGGAAAGAGAGAGGGAGAAACAGAGAGCAATCATGTGCATTTCAAGTGTAAACTGGTTATTGTTTGAGGGATTTGTGAAAGGATATTTGGAAATCAATGTTTTATCACATGAATATGAGAAAGGACGCCAACAGAAATATAATACTTCACAAAATTATTTTTGCACATGGTGATAATCATCAGTAAAATAAGATTTACTTTTCATCCAATAAAACATTAGAATAGTGTATCCTACAAAGATGCTATTTTCTTCATTACATAACAAATTCTGTGAATTTTCTCAAAGTATCTCTCTCAAAAAAATGTGAGGTTTTAAGATTAGATAAGTAATATAAAACAAGGAAGAAAAGAAAAAAATGAGAACTAATTACATAAAAATTAAATCATCAGTTTTCACACTCTAATATTGTTGGGCTTCAAATGGAATGCCATGAATGATTAAACACATGAACAAAAATGCTATTGTGGTCATTTCTCAATATTCACAAAAAGAAAATTATAATAATCAAAATTTAATCTATGCTTAATACTAGAATATTATTAGTACTTAGATTTTGAATATGATTCTGAACATGTTGAATGTTTTAAGAAAGTACTTTATCCCAAATGATGACAAAACTATTCATGACAGAATAATCTGAGATTATCGGAAGTTTCCTAATTTGTTCTCGTGTGTTAATTGTTATTCAATTAATTTGTTAACCTGAGACTGAACATTAACTTCATATCTACTTTATAATAATGTTTAAAAATATATAATAACAGAAATTGAACACATGTTTACTAGACACTAGGAACTATTTTAAACCTAGGCATTACTTTAATTCTTACACTATTCTTACAACATACAACATGTCTATTGTAGTTAGTATAATCAATAATTTCATAAATAAGGAACATAAAGCTTAAGAATTTAATACCTTTGAGGCAATTAAGATGGTAAGTCATTGAACTAGAGTTTGAACCCAGATCCCCCTGATTACAAATAAAAAAATTTAACGATCAGGTTATACGGCCATCCATAGAAAGGACCACAAATACCCTACTCAGTAACTACAGAGGTTCCAGTAACTGGGTTACAGAACTTCAGAGAACCACTTACTAACTGAGCTAGTCATTTATTCTCTCTAAACTTCCTGCTAATTATCTGTAATGCAGCATTCATGTTAGTACTTACAACCTCTTAGGTCTCAAGTAGTAATTTAATAATGTAATGCACAGAGGTAGTTTAATAGTTTAATTTCGATTATGCATGACCCTAAGTGAGCATTAAAATAGCTTTTATTATTATTCTTAGATTCATATACCTATGTTTATAAAACTGGGTACCTTAGATTTGTGTGGCATAGCAGAGCTTTCAAAATGTTTTCACGCATAAAATATTCATACATATGTTATTTAACATTTTATGTCATGTTTAATTAAGATAGGCTTAACATCCGCGATTGTAAGGCTTAAGAATGACATATAATATTCCGGTGCTGCAACTCAACTAGCTTTTGGGGGAAAAAACACAGAATACACTTGTTTTTTAGGTTTGAGATTCAGTTCTGAAGAGTTTGCTGCTTTACATTCTGAACTTACTTGAAATATGGCTTTCTTTCTACGATTCTGTGGAATTGGCAACCTCTGTTTTTATTCTAACAATGTAATACATTTCTAAATTAATATTATACACATTTTTCCCCCAGCAAAAACTGCTCCCAATCAGAATAAATACACATCTCCCATACTTTGCCTACACTTTTACTTATCTCATTTGAGGAACGTATCTATTTTAAGAAAAACAAGAAATATAACCTGATTGTGTTTCTTGGGGTCAGAATCCTGTTCTTTGAGTATCCTCTGATCACAGTAAGCTTTTGATGAATTTTGCTAAAATTGTTGAACATAATTTGAGTAGCTACAAGCTTGGGGATTAACTATATAAAATTATATCCACGCCATCAAGTGACTTGCAATTTTATTGGTTAGAATTCTCTTTTAAACACCTTTTTTTTTTTTTTTTTTTACCAAGACTTTGATAAATGTAATGAATCTTTTTAGAAAATGTAGAGAAATGCAGATTATTATAACAAAAGCCAAGGTACTCATCTTGATTTTCTTAATTGTCTTCATTGTCAAAAAATTATTCCTTCCATGAATCTATGCATGTCTGTCTAATTCAAGTTTCTATATGTTTCCTAAAATTTATGTATTTCTACTCAATGTATAATATTAAATTGTGGATTTTATTCTTTACCTAAAGAGTGTTATACTGTACCTATTATTTTTTTTTTCTATTTCATTTTTAAGATTAGCCATGTAATGGACATAGATCTATTTCACTTTAATTGTCGAATAGTATTACAAGATTTTAAAATACTGTATTTTGTTTATTCCCCTGGTAATGGGAACAAAATGAACAATAATAAACAATGTTTAACAGTATATTCTTGTACAGACGTCCTTGTTGACGTAAGTAGGAATAGTTCTAACAAATATACTTTTGAGTGAAATTGCTGGATTTAAGGGTGTATGTGTTTTCAACTACTTTGGTGTCAGACTCCTTTTGCTCACATTCCATATTTATAGTCAGAAAATCCAAACTGCTGTACCTGTGAAAAATGTCTAGGCATGACTCTTTTTATCACTTCTACTTGTCACTGTGGTCTGAACATCCTCTTGATAAGTTACTGCACCAGCAAACTAATTGTCCTCTTTGCACCCACCCTTCCTCCTATAGACCATCTGCCACACAGCAGCCCAGGGGATACTTCTAGAACTTAATTCGGATCCTACTACTTTTCTGCCTCAAGCCCCATAAGGGCCACTAATTCATTCAGAGTAAAAGACAAAGATGTTATAATAATTTACAGCCCACAGCCACAACTCAAGATTGCTTTGTTTACTTGTTTTCCTTTTTCTTCTTCTCTAGACGGTAGATGAAGACTTTCCCTCCAACTTCATCCCCATTTCTGACAATGGGAATCATGATTACTTCCTCTCTTCCTGACAGTGTGTTATTTTGTGGTTCTTATTTAATGTGGGTTTGGTTTCCCATGGGGTTCCCAGCCCCAGATGGCAGGCACTGACTTTGACTTTCCTCCTTCTGCCCAGCAGAGCAACAAACCTCAAAGCCCGGTTTACTTAGATTAGCAGATACTCAGGGAGAAAAACAGTTAAATGCTCCTGTGATCTTTATTTTGCTGGGTTTCCACTCTCTTTTATATTACAGCTGGTTATTCACACCAATCTTGTCAACACTTGGCCTCTGAAGGAGTTTTAATTTTTTAAAATCACCCTTGGTCACTAAACTTACTATTTAAAGACAAAAACAAACAAATAAAAACCATCATGAACATATTCTTTATCAATAAATGAATATAATAGTCCCAATAATTTTAAACACCATAAACCATTTGCTTCTCCAGAAAATCAAGGGCTCTAGTCTCCGAGAGGGAGAGTGAATCTACTCCGGTGGAACACAATCAAATACTGAATTATTATTATTTTAATTGTCATTGTAGTCATTCCTAGACCTTCAGAAGCTTGTCAGAAATGAAAATATGTGGTTATTACATTATTTAGTGTCTTGCATGAATAAATGTTTTCAGTTCCCCCTATTTGGACTATCTAAATAGTCTAGAACAATTGTAGAATCTGCTTGAATTTCTGATAGCCTTAGAGAGACAGGACAGAGCATCAAAATGACATGTATGATGGCAACATAAATTAATAAAGACACAAATAAGTATCTACTTTAGATAGCTTTCCTTTTATATTTTTGTTTAATTGGAAAGATATGAAAACAAAAATTAAAAAAATCTTCCATAAATTTCTCACTAAAAAAAAAGTACACACAACAAGAAAAGTGGTGTTCTTTCTTTTCTGATCTTCCAATTCTAATACCAAAAGAAAACAGTTGCTAATAACATGATACATGTTTCTGGATTTCTTTATGCATGTTTACATATACTTTTTATAAAACTTAGATCATATTACATAAACTATCCTGCACATTGCTTTTTTTTCCACCTTAAGGGGTTATTATAGTAAATGCATACATTTAGTTAATTTTTCAAATTATGAATAGCACAGCAATACTAGAATAAGTATTAGACGTATGTGGAATTAGAATAAGACGTATGTCAGCACAAAAATAATTAATACCCACAGATGGAATTACAACTTAAAAACTGCTTTATAAATTATTTTCAGTTAATATGATTTTTGTGTTATTCTCAGAAATATTTACTATGGAAAATGCAGATGTCACCTTTTTTTCAATTAGTAATATAAGGGCTATATGTATATACTCATGTTTGCTTATAATATCGTTTGGATAATTTAGTATTATGAATATACTTCCACTTACTTTAGTCCCTATAGTCAATTTTTTTCATTTCCTATCATAATTTAGTAATACACATTTACATAAAAGATTTCCACATATCTTGACATATAAAACTACAGTATGTGAAAATGATCATTGTAAAGTTTTTCTATAATGTATTAATTGGTCATAGCAAAATCATTCCTACTTCTTT